CATCACAGGACGCACTGGCTTGAAAAACCAAGGCCATCACATGTATATTGCCTAGGATGGATAGTTGGATATAGTAGACATCTGGGTGCCCTGGTAGGTCTAGGTACACATGCCCACTTTATGTGCGTTTTGCATGTTACTTTTTATTCAGGTTGAAACAGACATATAGTCCAGTGAGCATCCTATAGTATGTAGATGTATATTTATGGCCTATTTAGTTATTGTTGAGTTGTCTAGGATGTATCTATGTATCGGGTCTCTATTTGGATTGTAGTAGAGTAGAACTTGTTCGTGGGCCTGACCCACTATTATTTTTCAGGTGTTCGATAGTTCCAGGCTTAGAGCTTGTTCGTGTCGAGCAAAGATAGTCACTCATTCTTCCGACTACGTAGGACTTCTCGTCATGTTTTAGTTTTGAATTTTTCTTTCAGTTCAGTTATTTTATTTTCAGTTGGATTTTTGGTGGTCCACTAGATGGATTCCCGAGTTGTAATAATATTGGAGATTTTGGATTGTTGGATTATTTTAATTAGTATTTCTAGGATTACTATTTAGATTCTTTTCAGCATTAGTATTTATTCTTAAATTCTTTTTGTATTCAATGCTTGTTTATATACTTAATTGTTTGGTATCCCTCAGATCTGTGCTCGGACTTGATCACCCATGGCTCTAGAATCGAGGGGTATCATAAAAATAGTTTAGCCATTCATTGATATTGTCATCCAACCCTCAAGGGCTTTCTTCATGATTGAATTCATCCTCCTCCCTTGGTGTTCTTGGTACAAACCCTAAAAGAGTGGAAGAATTTCCCCAAAATGTATGTTCTCTCTCTAATCTCTAGCCAATTCTCTCTCTAACTAACCAACCTCCTTACTAAAAATAGTCAAATTTCTTATATAGGTAGCTCAAATGTCACACCCAATGGTAAGACCTCGTGCACTAGGACCTCCAAATGATTACACCACGAGCACACCTTCAATTCGGCTTGAAATTTTTTTTGCACGAAATTTGAGGCAGTTCGATTGATCACACTATTGCTCTGATTGATCAAAGTATGGCGGCGTAATTATTTGGATAAGGACAAAGGCTGAGATATTTATAGGAAAAGGACAAAAGTGGTTATGAGGATAAGATCAAAAGGTTCGATCGATCGAATAAAAGGTTGGATCAATCGAATAGGAAATTTATCTGAGGATAAGGACAAGGGTTCGATCCATCATGGCAGGGTTGGAACGATCGCAATGTGATCAGTTACAGCTTGGTTTGATTGATTGAAGAGGAATTTTTCATCACTTTGCTTTCATTTTGCTCCTTTCTTCCACTAGATTTTAGATTGCTTCTTCAAATGCTCTAATTTAGCTGATTTAATTTATTTTGGAGATAAGTGCCTGAAAAGGAAAATAACGTGAAATTAGACTAAAATAGGAAAATAAGATAGAATAAGGTCCTAGAGCATTCAAGATTAAGGGGTTTAAATGTGCACTTTTTAGCGTTTATCACCTAAGCCTTTCCTTTTTTGCCTGACCCTTCTCAACTTGGTTGTCAACCACTTTACAACTCCCTAATGTAGTGATAGCCTGGACTTGCTCATGATGAACATTTAAAGAATTAGGTTCATCAATCATGTAAGTCTACCCTTTCGAGTTGGCTACTGGCTGAGTAGGCAGCTTTCTATCCTCTCTTCGAGATAGAGTACTCGTTATTTGCCCAATTTGTGCCTCTAGCTTTGCTATGGCTTGTGAATGAAAATAAAAAAAAGTTGGGTATTTGCTTTAAGATCAATAAGAGCATTAAGTACTTGATCCTCAAAAGCGGAACTTCTAGGAGAATGTGGAAGATTAGGAGCTCGAGTAGATTGATACCTAAATTGAGGTAGACAATATATGGAAAATTGATTGAAAGAATTATTTTGGGGTAAAGGATTAGGTTGATTTTGGTACTATCCCTGTGATTGTTGAACAGTGGTACCTTGGCTTTGATTCCTCCATGATAGATTTGGATGATATCTCTAGCCAGGATTATAAGTGGAAACATATGGATTTTAGGCTGGTCTGGAGATTGCGGCATTTACTTGCTCTTGAGGGATCTCAGATGATTGTCTCATCATAGGGCAAGTATCAGCAAGATGTGAAGGATTAGCGCGATCAAACACACTTCCTTAGACAAAGAAATATGCTAAGTAGCAACAGGAATATGGCCAGATGATAAGACTTGGTCAAACCTTTGGTTCAATGCTTCTATTTGAGTGGCTAACTCGCTAGATTTTTCAACTTCAAATTTTTTTTCAACCTTATGGATTCTAGGAGTAGACTTAGACCTAAAGGAAGAAGCGTGCTGTATTGAATTTTCACTTACGGCCTCAAATAGTTCCAGAGTGTCAGCTGCACTCTTATGAAGGAAAGCTTTATTACTGGACGTAGGGCTGTAAATGAGCCGAGTAATGGTGTGCTTGAGCTCGGCTTGGTCAACATAATAGGCTGCTCAAGCTCGACTCGATCTTGGAAAATTTAGATCGAACTCGGCTCGGCTATGTTTGACGAGCTTCGAGTCGAGAGCTCAATAGCTCGTTTAATATATATGTATTTTTGGTACTTTGCACTCTTATGAAGGGAAGCTTTATTAGTGGATGTAGGGCTATAAATGAGCTGAGCAATGGTGTGCTTGAGCTCGGCTCGGTCAACATAATAGGTTGCTCAAGCTCGGCTCGATATTGGAAAATTTATATCAAACTCGGCTCGGCTATGTTTGACGAGCTAAGAGCTCGATAGCTCGTTTAATATATATATATATATATATATATATATATATATATATATATATTGGTACTTTACATCTAAGACCTTATGTTCTAACTGATCTGGAACAAAAAATCTGTTGTTCCAAGACCTGTTTTTTGGTACAAAAAATCTATTTTTCTAAGATCTGGAACAAAAAATTTGTTGCTCTAAAGTTTGTTGTACTTCACAACGAGCCGAGAAAAATCGCATCTAAGATCTGTTTTTGGTACTTCACATCTAAGATCTGTTGTTCTAACAGATCTGGAGCAAAAAATTAAAAAAAGATTGAGAGAAATAGATTTACAGCAATAAAAAGAAAAAGAAAGTGATAAATTTTGTCAAAAATTAAACTTACCAGGGTTGATTTTGATAGAATAAGTTAAGAGATGCACAAATCAATAGTATATCCCAAAATTTATACTAAAAATCATTTTGTATATATATATGTATATATATATATATATATATATATATATATATATACATATACAAGTTTATATGAGAGACAAGATGGGTATTATAGGTGGGTATGTGTTTGATGAATTAATTGTTGCTGCAGTATTTACCTTCAAAAGAAAAAAAGTTTACATGTAAGAGAGAGAACAGATGGAGGCGCAATAGGCCTGCATTATTCCATCAACCCTAAACCTAAAATGGTTTATATACAAAGATAAGAAAGGCCTATTTGCATAATAATCACAAACTCTATATACAATTACAATCTGACCCCAACTTTTGTATATATTATAATTGGGTATATATATATATATTATAATCGAGTATGTTCGTGAATGCATTATCGAGCCTAGTTTGTGAATGGTGCATGAATAAACTAGTCAAGTCTACTAATGTTCAAACTCGGCTCGTTTATAAATCGAGGCTCATAATTTGGCTCGAGCTCAGTTCACTTAGTAACGAGCCGAGTAATTAACGAGTTGAGCCGGAGCAATTTGTGAATGGCTCAGCTCGTTTGCAACCCTAACTGGATGCATCAACCATAGAAGATTTACACTAAGTGCCATTTAGTAATATCATGGTGTGGACATTTCCTCAGCAGATCGTTATACCTTTCCCAAGAATCATGGAGTTGTTCACCCAGGATTCGGGAGAACGCCAAGATCTCTCTTCTCATTTGTGTGGTTTTACCCACAGTATAATATTTTTTCAAGAATTCCTGCTGTAATATGTCTTATGTAGATATGGAATTAGTTAGTAGAGCATACAACCAGGTTCTTACTTTGTCCTTGAGAGAGAACTAAAAAAGTCGCATCTTGAATGCATTATCTGAAAGAGTGGATAACTTGGTAGTTGAACACAATTTCAAAAACACATCCAAGTGCTTATAAGGATCTTCTGTTGCAAACCCATGGAATGTAGGAATCATTTGGATCATAGCAGGCTTGATCTCAAAGTGGGTTGCATTAGCATCCAGAAATTGGAAGCATGAAGGGGATGTATATGATGTGGGAATAAAATGATCCCTCAATTATGGTTGTGGTGGAGGAACATGTAACAATCCAGATTTTTAAGATTTGAAATTTAATTTATTTCATGACTTTTTAGTTGTCAAGATTGAGTATTTATTTAAATTGGTGATTTACCCAATTAAACTATTTAGTTGGTTAATTTATTTATGTTGCAATTGAATTTATATTGTATTTCTTGATTTGATGAAAATTGAAGCAAAATGGAGCAGTAGGAGGACGAATATTATGGGAAGAGAAATGGGTTTTGATATTTTTGTGGGGTTCACTAAATTGATATTTAAAGAAGTTGTTTGATTTGATTACATATTATATATATATATGTAATATGGTGATAAAAAAAAAGGGAGCAGCCAAATAGGGAAAGGAAAGAAGATAGAAATGAAATTGTGATACTTTGGTGGTGGGTCCCCACTTGAAGTTATTTGATGGCTATTATTTTTGTTACATTTATATATATAATATATATATACACATATGTACTTTGATGAATGTAATGATGGATGATGAATTAAAGGAAAACAAAGAGAAGGAATAAGGATGGAGCTCTACCAGCCGTGGGAAATGAAGCAAGGAAGCTGTATTGATTTCTTTAGCGGGTCCCACTTAGATGACTTGCTGGGCCTATCTTTTAACTTTGATTTTTTTTGCAATTATATAAAGTGTATCATCAGATAGAAGAGGATAAGGGGGTAGCGAAATGGGATAGAGAAAAGGAAAATGAAAAGGTGATGTTTGGTGTGGGACCCTCGGCTAGGATTTGTTTGGCTAAAATTTCACTTGGCCTTGACCTTGTGTACATGGGTTGTTGCCTATTGGTAGAAATAGATGAATGATGAATTTAGATAAGGAAAGAAGATTTGACATTTATGATTGACTAGTCCCACTGACTTTTGATATTTGATTTTCGTTGGCTGATATGTGATATAGTGTCGGTTGGGTTGCATTATATTTTGAGGTGTGTTGTGCACTAAGTGAGGATATAAAGAAAGCAATATTTGAGAACAGAGATAAAAATTAGAGGAAAGACAGTAAGGTTCGAGAGTTCACATAGGGCCGAAAATTCGATGCTCAGATGATCTAGTGATGATTATTTCTTTTACAGTGTAAGGTTCTTTATACCTTAAATTGCCTCGGGTGATTTTATTTCAAATATTTTGTGATTGCTCTTTTGCTTAAAATGCATATACGTATTTTTGTGCAAAAGTAAATCTATATTTTGTGAACTAATTTTCATGAAATCTCTTTAAGATTCTTGTTATGGTTTTTCCCTGCTGGGACTTCCCCCGTCTCACCCCCTTCTAGTTTCAGGTACCATGTATTGCTAGTTTCTAGTTGCGGGCATAAGTGGAAGAGTTGGTGTTGAGGATTTATTTAAATTATTTTAGAGATGTTATATTTTTATTTGAGGAAATTGAAATTGTATCAATAAAATGATATTTCTTTTTGAGATCCTGGGTGATATACTGATGTATTTTGATTTGAATAAATTGAGGAATTTATTTAGAAAATTCGGGGCATTACAGAACAGGTGCCTCTGGCACATGTACTCTATTTGGGGGTGCATTATCATCAACCATGTTTTACCGAGAGGAATCTCCTAACAAGTTTGAATTCTTTTTAGGTCTTCTAATTTGCTTAAGATTTTTCTCTAGTTCAGGGTTGTATTCAAGTATTGGTTTTTGATAAAGAACGGTGACCTAACATGCACTAAATCCAATTGTACAAGCAGTAACAAAAATAAAAATTTCAGGTAAAGAAAATAACAAAAACTCACAAAAGATCCTGAAACCAAAGCTTTTTTTCCTTAGGCATCTTCGTCCTCACTATTAGTTCCTGCACTTGAAAAGAAAAAGAAATAAGGTGAGATATCAAAAAACTTGAAGACTTATAAACCAAAACAAAACTAATTGTAATTAAAATAAACAACAAATCTCCCCGGTAACAACGCCAAAAATTGATGTGCGTCAAAATATACCACTCGCAATAGAACGAATCCTTATAGAATAAGGCTATATTAAAGGTGTCGATCCCACAGAGAGATAAGTGTTTACTATAATGTCCAATTAATCCGACTTTGATTGAGGGATAAAAGATCTTTTGATTGGTTGTTTGCCACGAACATAAAAATAAAATTAAACTAAATTAAGGTAAAGAGATCAGAGAGAGAATCTTAGGGATTAACTTCACTACGAACTTCATATTATGGTCAACCATTCAACTTTAGGATTTCAAAAATTTATATATCATATGAATTAAACTCAATAACATTCATTTAATTCGGTTTTAAAGAAAGATATTTTTTTAATTTCAACTAACAATAACCTATCTTCGATTAGCATGGATTATCCACCTACCTACTTGTAACTAATTTTGCAATATAAGTCGTCTTTCCTAAGTATAGCCTATGAAAATATTCATTTATGAAAAACATTGGAACACCATTCTTTTTTCTTAATGTCGAGAAGCCCTTTATGCCGCCATCTCGTACATTAATAATAGGTTAAAAATAATTCAAGAATAATTAAATCTAAGATAAGATATTAATTATTCAAAAACTATTATTTCATTAAAACACCAATTGATATTACTCAATTGCTCATAATCATGCAATCAAAATATATAAGTCATTAAATTCCCAAAGTTAGAACAATCAAACCATAATACTTAGATCGGGTTACATCAATGCCCTAAGAGAGGAATTAGCTACTCATGATGACACAAGATATCATCTGTGTTATTGTGGTCTTCATCATCATAGACTGCACTTCTCTTCTTAGGATCTTCACTTTCAATACTATAAAAACCCTAAAAGCCACCACTAAAACAAGAGAGAATCAAAAGAATTCAGAATGAATAGAGATAGTTTTTCTATGGCCTTGTGCCTTCTTTTATAGAAGAATTAACTTCTAATAAGGGTTAGATGGGCTTTTTGGTCTTCTGGGTCATCTGGGCCAATTTAATATGAAATATGACATAATTAGAACAAATCTCGCAGCTTAAAGTTCTAAATTATCATCAACGGCTCGAGCTATTTGTGCAATGGCTCGAGCTATTTGGAAGGGTACTCGAGCCCAACTTCTATACTTAGCCAAATTTCTTCAAATCTTTTCCGAAGCTTCTTTTTCATCAACACTTAGAATATTTTTGGATATCTTCTTTAACAGTGCTCGATCCCTTCTTCATAGTGCTCGAGCCTTGGTTCTCTGGCTAGAGCTTTTTGGTAAAAGACTCGAGCTATTTAATCTTGGCTCGAGCTCTTGAGTTTTGGCTCGAGGTCCAGGCAACATGGATTTTCTGAAGCATCTTTTCATATTCTGATGCATTTTCTGCTCGAGCTTTTTGGCAAAGGCTTGAGCACCTTGAGGTTCGGCTTGAGCCATAGGATCTCGGCTCGAGCTATTCTGCCTTAGTGGAATTTCTTGCTTCTTGTTTTTGTGCTCGAGCTAATGGACTTAGCCTTGAGTTGTGGCACTTTAACTTCTCCAAAATTCACCATTTTGACTCTAAGCTTAATTCAGATGATCGGCAATGATTCTGTAAGCTTCGATATCAATCTTTTCATCTTAAAGTCTTGGTTTTAACCATTTCTTTGGGAAAGTACTTACAAACATGAAATAAACACAAATTAGTCTAACAATGGATAGAAGTATCACTTTAGGTCTTAACATATGTATATTTAAGGGCTCAAATATGCAATATTCAACGCTTATCAATATTGATGTGTCATTTTATGATATGGAGGTTGCCATTCAATGATGATTGTTTCTGAGTAGAACTGTACGTAGTGTCCGGTAGGAAGTGATCGTTCCTAGTGTTAGAGAGTTGTGAGCATTGATGCTCTTGTATGGTAGTCCTGTTGCAGGCTGTATTCTAGCATTTGGCGTGTAGGTGTTACGTATTTGATTCATTCCGTCTAGTATTGGAGGTGCGAGGTTTCTGTGTCGGGTCCCTGTAGGATTCCCAATGGGTATTGGTAATGTGAGATGGTCGATTTATGGTGAGATTATGTAGAGATTAGTCTGAAGTTTCACAACGGATGTCTTAACTGGTTCGTCTCCTTGCATATAAGGAGATCAGCTTCATCTCGAGTGAGATGGGATGTCTATGGTTGGACATTTGATGAGTAATGTGTGACGGGGTGTTAGGTACACTCAAGTCTGGGCTATTAGTCTCTTAGAAGAGCGGGGTTTATTATCCTTTCTATTTATTCTGGTCTTGACAAGTACATCATTGGTTGCGAGTATTGTTCCTCCATTTAAGAGTTGTGCACGCCCACGGACGGGCGGGTCTATGGCAATTTCCCTCTTGTTTGAGATCTCCGGTAAGGGTTTGGTTGGATTAATCTATTCACTCCCTCGAAAGGAGGCGAAGCCTTTGGTTTTAGTAATGCTTCTTTTGAGGTAATAGTGACCGAAAGAGTGTCGAACGTAAGTTGTTAACCGAGGATTGTGTAGTCCTAGTGTTTAATAGGGGATATGTCAGGAACTGTAATGTAATGACCCGGTCATTTTCTTCATTTTCCCTTTTTCTTCAAATTTTGCTGATAAATTTTTTTTTCATTATCTTTTCCTTTTCGGGTTTGATTTCCTGCCTCTTAGTGTCATCTCGAGTGCTCGGAAATGATTTTTGAGACTCTTTCCTTTGGATTGACAACTTCCTTTGAGGACTGAGTCATTTTCACATTTTTTTGTTTTTTGACACTATTCATTTTTCGTCTTTTCCTTATTTCGTCCTCTTCTCGTATTTCACTTTTACTTGCATAACTTCATTTTTTCTGCTCGGATTTGATTCCGATTTTGCATACGTTCATGATATTTAAATTCCATGACATCTAAATTTTTACTTTTGTAGAAATGCATATTAAATGCATACTTTCTTTGTAAAAGTCATGAAAACAAGACTTTTTGCAATTATCCATAACTTGAGGGGTTTTTGGGTAATTAAGTAAAGTAATTATTTTTCGTCTTAGGGACCATTTTGCAATTAAATTTGGAAGATATTTTTAAAAAGGACCTTTTTGCAATTTTTGAAAAGTGTGACAAGTGTCACACTCTCATTGGTCCACTTGTTGACATTTGTGTGGAAACACTTTAATGGATTGGATGATGATATTTGGAGGGCGAGGATTCACCCACTTGTTGTCCTAGAATTGGTGCACTTGTTGGCATGGATGGTTGACAAGTGTAGGGTTAATATTTAATCTTGAAAGCTTACTTGGATTCAAGACAAGTGTAGGATTCACATTTAGTCTTGCATTAGTGTGTGTGAGAGAGGTAGTGCAAGAGCACCTAGTGAGTGGAGAAGCTCACCAATTTAGCTTAGGGTTTACACATTTTAATTCATTCATCACTTTCCTCTCAAGAACCCTAAGGAAGCCACCATTGGAGAAAAGCTTGACTAGTAGCTTTGACATCATTTTTGGTGCCCTTTCACTCACCTTAGAACTTTGAACTTGGAATACTTTTTGTTCCCCTCATCCTTCTCTTCAAAACCCTTGAAGGATCTAGCCTAACTCCTAGTTTTGCTTTGGTATCTAGAGATTCAATTCTCTAGTGAGTTATTGATCTATTATTTTGAAGTATTTTTATGTCATTATTGAGTGTTTTATATACATGGAAGAGAATGACTTGTATTTTGCCCTTAAACTATTTTAACTTGAAATTAATCTTGTCAAATTAAATATAGAATATGAAAATATACTCAATTAGCTTTCATTTAGTTTTGGTTTCATGTAATTTGGATTTAAAATGAATTAGTTATGAATTTTTGAAGTTGCAAGCTAGTTGCTGGAAATTTGAAGCTTTTCCTTTTCAGTCCGGAAATGAATTTTTTATATAGATCTGTATTGCTTCAATTGCCTTGAAATTTTTACTAGAACTTCCCCCATAGGTTTTACACTACTCAGAATTTTTTTACGATTTTAGAGCATTTCTAAATTTTTTTAAAAATCCGAAACTATCTGCTGTCCATGTTTTTATTGCAGTTGGAAAACATATTTTTAGATGATTTATTTCACTAACCTTTTGACATTGGATCCTGGCTTAAATTTCCAGTTTTCCACTCTCATATGTTTACTTCCAAAATAAAACAGGTTTGCCCAATTTGGATGTCAAATGAATTTTTCATGAATTTTTAAAGTTGGAAGCTACAGGCTGAAAATGTGTTTTCTGGGCAGAAATTGTTTCAAAGTTGTGGGGAAAAACTGTTTCAATTGAGAAAATATTTTGTTAAACTAAATTGATATTATCAAATTATAGTGTTTAAGCTTTTATTGGGCTTTGGATTCATTCAATTTGGGTTAGAATTAAATTTTTTATGAATTTTACAAGTTGAAGGTAGCAAGCTGAAAAATCTGTTTTGCGGACCGAAAATTTGGGGCGATTTCATTTCGGTGGTAATTGGGATTTTCATTCTAATTGAGGTAGGGAATGTTTTAGGATTGTTTGT